AAATCGAAATTAAAAATAAGAAAAGAAAATATCAGATAACCTTGTAAAAACATCAAAATGCATAATAAATCAGTAAATCACCATTTACTAATTTGTTATTGATCTTAGTTCCTTAGCTTTATATAATGGTTGGGAGTAAGATAATAGTCTAGAAATATGTATTAATGCTTCTTTTATCATTTTACAAAATATCATTGCATATTTCCACAATGTCGCTAATTTTTACAATATTTCCCCTCAACATTTCCGACATATGTCCTATATTTTGGTAAGCGACATTTCCATCGACATCAACATTTTAAACCTTGGTTCTATTAAAAAAGAATAGTAAAAAGTATGTAAGATAGCCCATATGAAACAGAGAAAATAAGCTTTCTTATAGATAAATGGTGCACCATGATTCCATTAAAGCACAAACCAAAGGAGGAACTTGTACAGAAAAATAACATTATCAAAATTATCAGTTTATATGCTGCAAAAATAGGTGTAGCATAGAACTTATATTTAGCAGGTTCTACCAACAACTCCCAAAAGAAAAGATCAAAACAACTAAAATATGACATATAATGCAGAGGACAACGTGACACAAACCTCCATATTTCCACCTGTTTGAGGCTTGTACATGATGTATTCAGGAAATTTGAGATCATTGGCAATATTGTGATGCTCAACAACTCGTCCACGCAATACTATTCTAAAATGTTGAGGAATCCGAAGGTACAAGATGGATGAATATGCCTGTGGAGTTTGTTCAAGAACAAGGTTTAGTATAAAGAGACTTATTCTAATTCCTGGTATATCAAACTCAGAAAGAGCAACCTGAACTCACACGAAGAGAATGACGGAAGCGATTAGCAATATGCTGTTCACTTGGTATCTTTGAGTGATGACCAGTCTTAACTATTTGGTCAGCACCAATGATTAGAATATCCTGTAATGCCAAATCATGAGAATCGATGTCATTGAAAACAATTATGCAATATGGATAAGATGGGAATGAGAAGGAGTAAAGATTAACCTCATTATTAGATTCAAAATCAAGCTCCATTTCCCCATCATTATTGAGCCATAGATTGTAAACAATAACTTTTGTTCCATGATGTCCAATGTCATCAAACTGCTCATTAAATCCAAAAAGAGAGTGCATTAAATTTAAACCTGTCTTTTGTGCGCCATATGCAGCCTAAATCAAACCAGACTTTTGTGTCCTAAACACTTCCCGTGCACCATCCATAAACCAGAAAATTACCCAAACTAGGGATTCAAGTAGGGAACCCGATTTGAAGATTTTACACTTCATCAAGCCTAGGTTTCCAGGTTTGCCCATTCAAATTTTAACAAAATCCCAAACCAAGCCCGCCCAAGTTGCACACTCCGATCTGCTACCACAACATGTTCCCACATCTCTACCCACGGAACACCACTGCCGTGTATTGGGAACATCTCCCAATGAATGAAAAGGGAGATATTCCCATGGGTAGGGATGTGGGAACAACTTTTGGGTAGCAGATCCAAGCCCCACGTTGCACCTCTAACCCAACTGAACTTTCAGTTTAAACCACACATTAGAGCATCTTTACCTATCTAGTCCTATATTAGGCACTTAAAACCCAACTGAACTTTCAGTTCAAATTCTAGACATTGATCACCAACTGCCATCTGATAGCATTCTTAAGACTCTAAAGATAGCTAAACTGGTGAATACAGTTAATCAGGCCCAAGTTTTTCTAATGAAGTGCTTTAGGAAACTAGAAACATTTATCTATTCACTAATATCCAAAAAAACAAATAAATATATAAATAAATAAATCAAGCAAGCAAGCAAGCCATAAAAAAAAAGAGATCTTACAAACATACTTGCTTAAGCAGATCTGATTCTGTTGCATACGGAGACCACTTCAATAGCATGGACAGATTAGACAAGAAATGCTCTTTGCTATAGCGTAAAAAGGTTCCAAACGTGCCAGTTGATATGTTGAACTCATAATCCACCTACAAATAACAAATATCATGAACATTGCTAGGGAGACAGCATCAGTCAAGAAGGATATGAGGCAACAAACAGTAAACTCACAATCTTAGTATTATGCCAGTAAAGTAGCCCTAGACCAATGGACCATCAGGATGCACTATCCATGTCAAGCATTAATGGACTACCATTCAATGACTCTCCCCTTGAATATATCCCTAAAGCCAAAGATAACTATCTAACTATCCATGTTACAAACATATAAATATTTTTAACACTTGAAAATTACTATCATGTGCATGATTGCAATTATCCAAGGTAAACACAAATGTTTTCCCACCATTAGAAGTTAACCCTGAAATGGTCATTTTTTGCATGCATAGACTGTATCATTTATTAGTGCTCTCAATGGATTGGGTTGACTCAACAGAAAGAAACCAATCCAACCCCATTATACAGGTTCTGTCTCACATTTTACATGTAATGATTTCGTGTAAAGTGTATAAAATTGTCACCAATGCAGAAGATGCAGTGTGTTAAAAGCACAAGGTGCAAAAGAGGCGCAAGGGCCATTTTGTGTCCGAGGCGCAAGGCAAGGTGCGCACCTTTTTGAAGCAAGGCACAAAAATACAAAAAATTGCTAAAACGTAAAAATGTCAGAAAATTCAAAAAAATGCAAAAAATCCAAAATATTAAACATAATATTAATAAGAAATATAAACTTAAATTTTAAAATTAATGGTTTAAAAAACCTATTATCTAAAATTAAAATACATAAACATAACATGTAAAGCATATTATTTAAATGAAAATTTAGAAATAAAATCAAACATATAAAACATTTTCAAGCATGTAAAGCCCACAATCTCTTTTTTTCCTCAATTGCATTACTTCAAGTAGCTAATGTGATGTAAAACATATTGCATTTCTGATTCTACGAGTAGCCTTTGTGCCATGCCCTTAAAAGGTAATTAAAATTATAAAACCATTATTTTTTTTGTGTGAGAATTAAGAATTTAAGACCCTAACATGGACTTGTTTGGCCTTGCCTCAAGGGGCATGGTCAGGCTAGGTTCAAAAAAAGCAAAAAAGCGTACAATTTTCAAAAAGGCGCACGCTTGGGCCAAGGCACAAGGTGCACCAGGCACTCGCCTAGGTGTATCAGGCGTGCGCCTTTTGGAAAGTGTTCCGCCTAGGACCTGAGCGAGGCGCCTACCCTAAAATGCACCTAGGCGCACCACAGGCGTGCCTTTGAAGATGTACCTAGATAATAAGATAGAACCATAATCAAAAGCACAAGGTACATAATCAGTCTATTACTTACAAACCTAGCTCTAGGTTGGAATTGGGACTGAGACTGGGTATTTTCTTATTGGTTTGGGACTGGATCTACCTGACTCGAACTAGACCCAACCCATTGACAGCCCCCACTTATACACCACTTGTGCATGAAAATTACCATCAACAATACTCAGACAAATAGATACCCCGCTGAATATATCTAAACCCTCTAAAGCAGAACTCATAAATTGATATTGACTAAAGTCAACCATCTAGAAGAAATATAACCAGCTACAGTAACAAGATGATTTAACCAGACTCACCATTGGTACAACTATTCTATCATGACCTGTTTGTCTCAAAAAGCTATAAGAAAGGAGTCCAACACTCTGAGTCAACGTCCTGTTTAAAAGAAGTCCGTCAAAGAGGAAACATGAAGCTTAATGATAAAGTACATCTCAAAAGAATTAGATATTTCATTTGTCCAGAAACATGATAAGATAATTCTATAGAAGAGAATAAATCCAACGTACTATTTACTTGTTCAAAAGGAAAATGATACCAATCTATTATCTACCCAGCAGGTAAATCATACCAGAAAAAAATAAAATACAAAATTGAAACAATGTTTCACTCATACAGCAGTTAAGTAGCAATATCAATTTGGCAGGTAACTGATGACTATCTACATGTTCTAAAATATTCTATCAGAAAGAAAAAGTTTAAAAGATTAACAATAAAACCTACTACAACATATTAGTGAAAGTTAGCAGTAAACTCATTTCCCATATGAATAGAGTTTTCTCAGAAAATACATTTCAGGTGTATCTCAGATCCAATTAGAGGTGGTATCCCCCCTCCCCCAAATTGTGCTTAACCATCCTATATAAAGAGGATATCTGGTTTTTGGTTTCCATATAATTTCCCACACTCATTCCCCAACTATAATTAAAACAATACAAACTTCTGACATTCTCAACAATCGAATTTTGCAGGTCAAATAATATTTAATTTGTTTGTACTTATTGATGGAAGACCTTCAAGAAATGTTATTAAATAGTGTTCAATGTTACAAAAGTACCAACTAATCATCTCAGTTGAGAGCTAGACAAACTGCATCACTAACTAGTTAGTCAATGTTCATAATGCAATCACCTACAAGAGATATGTCTATAACTCCTTAAGACTAATCTGACTTGACTTGTAAAACTCATCTATGAAATAGCAAAAGAAGAAAAACAGCATAAAATGCTAATTAAAGATTTTGATATCGCAATTCAAACCTCTTGCCCATATGACGGCTGAAGACAATAACATCTGCTCCAAGTCTCATAGTGCTTGTCTTGAAGCCATTTCCATCTGAAAGTCTACAAGCCACCCAATTAAAATAACGGGAAGAAAACAAAAGAATAAGAAATGTGCAAAGAAGAAGGCACAGACTCCTTACACTGCCCAATAGCAGACTTTGATTTCTTATCTGAAAAACCAAAGCTCATACAGCGACGCATGGCATCTGGGTCCATTCCTCCACCATCATCTTGTTGGACCAAACCAGGTTTTAGATGAACAAAATACAGATGAAAGAACACAAGTCAACTATGAAAAGTTCTCAAACTTACATCAATGACCATGGTCCAAATGATTGACAAAAATCAAGAAATAAAAAGTACCTTGAATTAGCAAAGCTGGAGACCCGTCTCTTGGATTTGAGGTTTTATCAATGATGACAAAGGTGGCCCCACTTTGTATCTAGCAATCAAAACAATAATAAACTGCAAAACATGAATGAACTGATGCCACGGGAATGAAGTAACCACCTTGACTGAAATCTTGGCTCTACATCAAGGAGTAAGATTGGCCAAACATTTGATGCTACAGCAGATTGAGATAGAGGGTTACTCCAAATTGGTAATTGGGTGGATGCAATCAGGGAATCTGGGAATGTGGCAACATAGACAGCTGATAGAGAAGTTTTTAGCATAACAAGGGAGGTGGGTGTTTGTTTTAAGTGGGTAAGGAGATCGGCTAATGGTTTAGCTGATACCTTAGCAAAATAAGGGACTGTAAGGGAGAGTTTGTAATAGGCAGTTCTGTAATGTATGATGTCTATTGGCTCAACCTCTTCTACTAAGGGTTGACTTCTGTATTTCAGAATTTAAATCTCAATAATGAAGTTACCATTTCTGATCAAAAAAAAGTAACCACCTTGACTGAAAAGAACTACAAGATAAACTTGTAATCAAGAAAGTAGAAGGTGAGAGAGAAATCCATACAAATAAACAATTTAGAAATTAGAAAGTAGAAAACATGAAACAGGTATGCAAAAAGCTCTATCAAATTAGAAATAAGCATTTGCATTTGTCAACATGATAGTCAATAAGCACTTAATTAAAAATACAGGGCCATATATCGAGTCATCACGCATTTGATGCCCCCAACCTCCTCTGCCAATATTCAGTCTGAATGACAGTAACACTCTGCAACAAGATTGCATTATGCAACACTTGACACCAAAAATACTGAATAAGAACATCTAGTGAAATGCATACAAAGCGGTAAGCTCTTTCATATTAACCTACTACATGACATTAAGGCTTAAGAGACAGTAAATATAAATGTAATTCCTCTTATGTTTCTCCCAGATGGCCCCATTGGAGCTAATACTAGGTGCCCCTTCAATGTTTGAGGTCAAAGTTAGCATGACACAGACATCATTTCTGATTTTTGAAGGTTAGGCCAACGTTGAGTAGTGGTATCATGATATGAACAATAGAAAAGAGTAAATGATCAGCTCAAAAGCAACAAATAGATATATACCTCATCCACTGCATTGTCAAGCAGTTCGGCAATGGCTGCAAAAGAGACAAGAAAGATCTCAAAAAGAGTAGTAAATATGGGCACAATGTGTAAAAGATCTACTTAATATAACTACAAACAGAATATCTGACAAATTATATAAACCGATTGCACAAACCTCCAAATGACCATTTATGTGAAGTAGCATTTGAGTGAAGAAACTTTGGATGAACATGTACATGATTTTTCCCATCTGCAAACACAAGAAGAAACAAAGCATTCAGGAATTATATACCAATAAGTATATTTTTAAAGAAAAAAACATGGGCCATGGTGATTAGTTAGGAATGTTCAACTAGATAAGATTAGATCCTATTCTCATGGGCATATTGTCTAGAAATAAATATTTTCCAGGGTTTGGTTCTACAGTTTATAAATGCTTGCTTGTTGGATTGAATGATAATCTTGCCACATGATTATGTCAACCATCAACTGGAAGATCAATCAAAATATACATATGCAACATAAACAGATGAGTGAGGCCAATCAAAGTGAAAGGCGAATACCCTGAAGTAAAACTCTCGAAGCCTGTCTGACATCATACTCCCCAGCCTTCCAGAATTGCCGACAGAGTGGTGCAGAGCATCCAGGTGGTGTAGAGGAAAGACTTGACACATCAAGCAGAGAACCCCCTTCATCCAATATAACAGAATCACTTTGGCCAGTATTTAAAGGATTAGAATTTCTGCTCTCTTCAGATTCTTGCCTTGTATTAAGGATTTCAGAGCTTTGCTGTTGGACCTGTTCGGCTTTACTGTACTCACTTTGTTGCACTGTAACTGTGGCTGGGGCTAAGTCGGGTTTTTCAACCTTCACAACTGCCTCTCCTATCTCATCATCACTACATAAATCTATGAAATGTGTAACACTCATCTTGAAACCTGAAAAGAAATTAAGATACAAAAAATTGAATGTAACATGGTCAGTGAAATGGGAGGAAACAACATGTTTTTAATGCCTAGGCAAAATGTTATTGGGAGGAAGTTCAAGTAATTTGACGCAACTAAACAGCATTTTGGTTCCTAATAAATGCACTCAATAGCCAAAGGTACAATCTCTATCTTCTGTGATAGGAATGCTTCAAACATCTAAAGAAGAGACAAACGTTATGACCCTTAAGTTGTCAGACCAAGAATAAATAAAAGATTGAGCAGGAATGAGAAACAAAGGGAGACAGAGCTCCTAAACACACCTCTTGGAACAAAATGTTCCATTTGAGCAACACCTCATTAGTTTCTTTCCCTACTGTTTCAGAAATTTGGCATACATAAAATTAAAACAGTAAAGTGAATATTATTTAGATACAGGTCAAAGGCCATACCTAACGCTGGTCGTGACATTATTTGGAGACTTTGGAGGGAGGGATTGCATACAAACCTAGACAGCTAGACTCCAGCACTTTTGCACACAATGGTCGCTAACAGACTCAAACCCATGTTTCAGACCCTCTCTGAGCTCTAAGGAAATGCACACACTGGTCCTGATGCCATCACCAAGAAGAAAATGATGGACAACGAAAATAAATTTAAAAGATAATCCAATAGCTACAGTGTTCTTAAAGTTAAAAAAAAAAAAAAAAAACCGCAAAGAGCCAGAAATATGTATCTTTGCCCCTTAATGGATTTTATATGCATTGTCCCGGGAAAATTGCAAGGTGCAGTTTGAACATGCTTCACAACAAATGGAGTTCAGCACTACAAGCAAAATGGGCAATATCCATATCTCCAGAACACTACCTTTTATCTATAATAAAACCAATATTACCAATTCCTAAAATGCAAAAGGAGTCCTCATATTGCAAATAAACTTTATTTTTATCTAATATGAATATTAACCACAACCACCACTAGGAAATTTTCAAATAAACAATATTAAATTAAATGTCTAATTAGGAAGACATTACTCATACTAATTAGGAAGACAAGACACAAAAATGACTTTACTCATACTAATTAGGAAGACAAGACACAAAGCTGGTTTAACAAAAATGGGGAAAAAAGGAGAAAAAAGTAAACCCACAAAAATAAATACAATAAGAAAATAAGTATAAGGATCAGTGGGATTAGAAAGATTTCTTGTTCAAATCAAGTAAGTTCCAAATTGGAAAACAAAACCAAGCAAATGTTCAGAAAAAGACTAATGGAATCAGGGACACATACCTAATTGCTAAACACTGAAATCTACATTATTAGGAGCAGTACAGCAGAAACCTTCTCATTTTTGAAGAAAAAAAGTGAGAAAAGAGAAGAACTAGGGTTAATACCTAATTGCTCAAACTAATGAAATCAGGGATTAGATAACACATACCTAATTGTTAGGCTCTGAAATCCACATTCTTATAAGCAACACAGGAAGAAACCCTTTCCATCTTTAAAGGAAAAGACTAATGGGAAATGAACCAGTGTTCATACCTAATTACTCAAACTGAGAGGTGCCTTCTACCCAAAAAATCCCTGAGAGGTTTGAACTTTGAAGCCCAACCAAAGAAGCAAATTCTTGAAGTAAAAGAATATATATAGTATTAAAAAGTCACGTGATTGAAGGCATGACAGCTGTATTCCACCCTTTGACATCTGTTAGGATCATTGTTCCCGTACCGAAGATATCAGGCTCGGACGTGCAACCAGGCTCGGAGTCATCTCGAGCATTTTCCGGCAATAAAACAAGAGCCTCGTTCAGCGCCTCTTACTAGAATCGAGGGTACTATAATCGAGAATAGAGTGAGGGATCTCGAAACTGGCGTTGGAAAGCTCATCTGGCAACATGGCATTTGGCGATCAATGGTTTAGAATGAAACTCCCACGCTAAATAACGAAATATGAAAGTTTATCGACTACCGCCTCTTTGAATACTTTCGATGGTTCGGCCGCTGCGATTTAAATCTTAGGCTTTTAAATTGGGTAAAAATGCTTGGCATATCCGAAGTTTTCAAAATAAAAAAGATTTGTACTAATTTTTTAAATTTTCTTTAAAAAGAATCTTCCTAATGTTTGGTACCATTGCGCATGGCCGCTTTGACATTTATATCACTAATTTTTCGAGTTCATTAAATTAAAGAAATTGTTTATTAGGGACCGGACATGGAATCATTTTCGGGACCGGGTCCTGGGCCGAATGGTCTCACCGTCTAATTCAAATAAGTGATACATTCTGATTTAAAAAAATAAAAAGATATATAAAAAGATAATTACAGTAAAAAGCGACAAAAAAACCCGTTGTTCAAGTTAACTGTTTGACTACCTGGGTCAATGGATCGCTAACTAAATCAACGGTTTTTGGCCCAATAACAGTTTTAGGATGAAACGGAACCAATTATCTGACCAATTTTTATGTCAAGTGGTCCAACCGTCAGGTATGGTCCAATTTTTAAAACCATGGTTTTGTACCATTGATGCCATGTCACGGTAATGGGTTTGTTTGATGAAATTGAATTTGGTCCTCACAAGACCGTTCTCATACTGTTTGCACAATCCCTTATTGCCTTGTATTGGGAATATCTCTCCATGAAAAAAAAACATACAAGTACAAAGAAATTCCCGATACAAGAAGGGACTGTGTGAACAATGTGAACATGGTCTTTTTTTTTTTGAGAAAAGGCATAAGCCTATATTTCAATAGATAACTCAGTAGAATCTTCAACAATAATCTTCTTCAAGAAAATAGGAATATCTAACCAGGTGGTACAAGGAGAAGAATACGACAGACCAAAACGAGTTAATGCATGAGCCGCTCTATTAGTCAATCTTGGAGAGAAGACTACTGAGAAATCACTATGGTGACACAGGATATTCTTGCAATCGTAGATGAGTGTAGTTACACTCCACGGAGGTTTGCTATAGTCCTCCAACAAGAAATTTATCAAAGATGTGTAGTCACCCTCAAAAATTGCCTTAGAAATTCCATAGGAAATAGCAAATTGCAAACTTTCAAACAAGGCATTGAGATTCAGCTTCCAAGGCCGAGCACTGCCAAAGAGGGATAGCTCAAGCAAAAATCAAGTTTCTGTGATGGTCCCTAACTATACAGCCAGCAACGGCACGGATGACTTATCTCTTGTTTGATAGTGAGAACAATCTCCCTTAGATTGTTAAAAAAAAAAACATAATTGGTTTTAAAAGAGGAATTATTGAAAATGGTGACTTATCTTTTAGGCCCAAATTTAGTAATCACTTTCAAGTTTGTCGATTTTTAAGAAGCCAACAAACCAAATAACAAATTCATTAGACATCTTTGAATTGCTATGGTGGCTTTGTTGTGGCATCGATTTATGAAAAAACAACAATGGTACCAAACATCACCCCACTTTTTTTGGCAATCAAAATCACCATTTACTATTGACAAAAATGAAATCTTGATTTTACCCATTAAATGCTAAAAAATTCATAAACCACTGCAAGGGCAACATCACAATTCTCCTTTTGACAATTTCTACAATGGGGGGAGAAACTTCTAGCCTTGGTTCCTTTGGTAATAAGATACTTATCTAAGTAAATGCATTTATTCATGTGAGTGTCAATTGGGTAAATACATCTATCCATGTTCTTTTGCCAATTGGGTAAGTAAACAGATTTTCTAAATAGTAATTCTTTTGCATGGACATTTTAGTCCTACATAGTTTGTCAAATTTCCCCCCTTCATGGATAAATAACTTATCCACCTCCAAGATGGGTAAAACTTCCTTACATAAGTTGTCAAAAACTTACATAGGGAAAAGTTTTGTTATATGGGACCAATATTTCACTAGTAAATGAAAATGAAAAAGTTTGTCAACTTTCCCATTGACCAACTCCCCCTTGTCCACAAACTTACCTCCAAACTAACAAGGCCCTAATGAAACTCCTATAATTAATTTATACCAATAAAATCTAATGAACCATTTAACCAAATTTTGAAAGATGCAAATCACGATGGTTGGAGCTTCACACATAATGGAACCCACATGTGTCCTATTAGTTGTAATTACATGACCACCATACAACTATACTCATTGGTAAAAAAACAACGGTCTATTATAGTTCAAATCAAACACGTAAACATGAAGCTTCCGTTTGGAAAATCAACATCCTCCCATTCCCTTGCATCGGAGATCTCCTTATTCATTAATGTTTGTGATTCTATGCGAGTACAACCAATGGACACTAATTCTTATTAGTTATTACTTGAAGAGAGGTGCCCTTTGGGGATTTAATGCAAGGTTTTAAAAACTGACCCAAAAACGAAACTGTTCTGACCACTGGTTTTCGGGTTAGTGGTTTGACCGTCTGGGTTAAACGGTTTGGACGGTTTGAATATTTTAACGGTGATACGTCATCTTATCCATTAGATTGGAATATTAGGGTAAGATGCATATAAAAATAAGAGAAAATAAAGATGGAATGAGAGGTATTTGAAAAGTCGGCTGAAAGAGTTTAGAAGAAGAAGAAGAAGGAAGTGGAGGAGGAGGAGGAGGGCTTGAAGGCTGCAGCGGTGACGACGGTGATGGCGGCAATGGTGAAAAACTAGAGTGGATATGAGATTTCTCAGTCTCAAATCTCTCTCTCTCTCTCTCTCGCATATCTGTCATCTAGAGTCTAAACTTCTCTCCCATATCTCTAAATGTGAGATCTCTCTCATTGTCTCACACATCTCTCTCAGTAGATCTCAGATCTGAGAGATCTTCTTCCCTTTTCATTTTGTTGTGACAAGTTAATAAACCGCAAACTATTCCCTGGGTCGAACGGTTCAATGGTCAAACCATATGGGTCAACAGTTCGTTGACTAATTCAACGATTTTTACCAGAGATTGGGTTTGGGGTAAAATATAACCGATTGTTTAAACAGTTTTCGATCTGAACGGTCCGACCGTTCAGGTCAACGACGGTTTGAAAACATTGCTTTAATGAGTGTAGGAGGTTTTACTCCTAAAAACACAAGGAATACTCCTCTGATGAATGTCTTCTATCAGGATATGGTGATTTCTACAACGTAAAATGGAAAGAGAGATGTGTATTGGATTTTAAGGAGGAACTGTGTTGAGTTGCCTTTATAAGCGGTTGATGGGTTATAAAAAAAAAAAGAGTGAGATTTGTGGAAGAATGCAAGAGTTCCTATGATATAAATTGTAGTTATAGGGGAGATGTTTTCAACAATGAAACTATGTATTGTTACAAGGATCAATAAACACATTGGAGGCTTGAGAACAATAGAGCTATTTGACGATGCCCACAATTGGTTTGTTGAAGTTCATCATCCAAACATAGTTTATTGGGTGTTGGATACCAAGGAAGTCAAGGCCCATATATTCACCCTTAAGACCAGCCAAGAAAGGGCCATGAATTCCATAGAAAAAGAGCATCTCTCTCTCTCTCTCTCTCCATTCTAGTCCAAGGGGGTGTTTGACAACATGGTTGGTCTTGGTTTTGAAAACAATAACAGCCACATCCACAAAATTATATATATATATATATGATGTTGTTGAACACCCCCAAATCTAATAATTTTACATTGCCATTGCATTTGTATGGGTTAGATCCAAAAACAAAATAAACCATTTATACTCATGTAACTTTACAACTAAAATCTTTCCAAGCATAAATGGTTTCAACCTGTTGTTAGGACGATCCGTCATCCAACCAGATTTGTGGGTCCAATTTAGCCCATGGATTGTTTATACGAACAAAAGATTTGATCAACTAGTGACCTAGTGTAAGAGTATGATACGCCTATTGTCATGGAATCACATAATACATTGCAAATCCCATTCATCAGTGCTTTATAATTTGTGAAGCCTACAAGACCCTAGAGCATGTATGTGACAAAGTGTAACAATTTTAATAAGCTTTGATGGTAACATGTGGCAAGATCACATGAAAGGGAAGGAAAATTGTACATGTTAGTACATATTCCCTTCACCCACATTTTTGTCAATGGCCACCCTTCTCTTTAAAGAAGGGGGTAGCCTCTTTCCTAAGAACCTTGGAGGTAGAGATATTGGAATAGAATATGCATCAATAAAAGGAATTGGGGTTTAGGTTTTAGAGACTCAAGAGACTATAATCTTGTTCTACTAACTAAATTAGCTTTGATGATTTGCACTAAATAAGGGTTGTCTATGGGCTAAGGTCATGAAAGCAAAATACTTTCCAAATGGAAATTTCCTTCATAGTGGTGTGAAGCAAAATGGGTCTTATGGTTAGAAAAGCTTTATTGTAAAGAGAGAGGTTCTACTAAAAGGGGTGTTAAACATCTAACCTGATCCTTGAATCCTAGGGATTGAAGGGTTAAAGGTTATGGGGCCAAGTATAGAGCCCTTAGGACCTTCAAAAGTAAAAGACCTTTCCCAACCCTCTAGTAGATCATGGAATACTGATCTAATAAATTATCTCTTCTTGGCTGAAGTAGTAAGGAAAGTTTGTGAAATTAATGTATCTCACATCCCCTGGCAAGATTCTTTGAGATGGGTTCCATGTTCTAAAGGGAACTTTTTAGTTAAGTCAATCCATTGCACCATTACAAGTAGGGATATGGAGCCTAGCTCCCCTAACCTTAGCTAAAAAGAAGTGTTGGCACACAATTTGGTCTCTACATGTACAGCAAAAAATTAAGCCATT